GCTTTCTTGAGCCTATACATCTTGTCCTTGCTTGCTTCCTTTGTTATTTCTTTAGGGAGCTTCATACAGACTTCTTTTTCCAATTCGTCATTTAGAAAGGCTGTGCTTATGATATCCAATTAGTCTATGTCATAGTTTTTACTTGCTGCTATGACAAACAAACATCGTAAGGTAATGAACCTTATTACAGGGCAAAAAGTTTCATGATAGTGAAAGTTTCAACAATGTCTGCTCGTATCCTTTTACTACTAACCTTGCTTTGAACCATCATGAACTTACTTGTGAATTCTCTTTTTAATTTTGATTTCAGAACCTTTTTATCAACCGGTCGATTGCATAACTCCCAGGTTTGATTCCTTATCAGTTTATTTCTTCTTGCATTGAATGCCATTCCTTATGGTAGTTTCATTAAGCTTCTTTTACAGTCGAAGGCTCGTCTTTTTCTGTATTATTTGTAGCTAAAAACATATAGTCCAGCCATTTACTTGCCTTTGATACACGACTTATGAGATTAATGGATTATGATACTAATACTGTACTAATGGATGTAATTGCTCTTCACTTCTCGATTGGATTCAGCATCACTTAATTTAATCGTTTCATCGCCGACTTCATTGCTCTATTGCTTCATTGGGAGTGGGGGGGAGGGGGTCTCATGTACTGCTTGGGTACTGCGTAGTCTTCAGAATCACTGTCGTCTTTCCTCATTGAATCTTCAGCGTTGTTATTTTCGACATCGTGATTGCTATGACCTTGTTCTTCTTGGCTGTTCAAAGATGTGTGTACAATTGTTTTTCTTCAGTCTGCATATTCCGTTTATTATCGGTATAAGCTATTGTTTTTGTTGCGGCGTTTTCATCAAATATTACATCCTTACTTCTAAAAATCTTTTCGGTTCTTTCGTCATATATGCGGTAACCTTTAGTGCTTCAGGTATCCCCCCATGAAGACCTTGATTTCTCCCACTTATGACGTAGATCCTTAGGAACGTGCCAAAGCTCTGCAACACCTTTAAGTGAAATAGATTAGGCTTCTCATAATTGGCGTTCTGTCATAAAGTTTTCTTGATGGCGATTGACAATATCATCATACAATATCACGGTAATAGTATTATTCTGCCATTTTTCCTGCAATATGAAGATAATATGATCTCTATAAGATAGGAGACAAGAGGGGAAGGGAAAGGAGAAGAAATACTTGTACGTGCGCCTATCATTGTGTCACGCGCAGCAAACAGATCAAAACTGAGCGCTCGTGTCGGACGGTGCATTGCGCTGTCTTTGAGTACGCGATCCGGAATTCGCTCCCTATTTTTTTTTATAATTACAAAAATTAGACTACGCATAGAATTTTGACAAAGGAAAAATTATCTTACAATTATGTCAGGAATACGTCATTTTAAAGACAAACATTTGTTCTGGAACACTCTGTATATTATAGTATATAAACAAGAATTATCCTACTAGCATAAATTAATTATTCTACAACTTACTATGTATTGTTAGCACATAGTACAGTCGCTTTTTTGCTACATCGTCAGAGCTTTTTATATAGCTTGGGTGTTCCATGAAGCAATGTGAATACTGATATTCCTTTCGATAGTAGCTAAACTCTAGTTTTTCTAAATAAATGATGAAAAAGTTTTGATCTTTTCTTACTATTTATCAAACAATAGTCTCAGATGAAGGATGTCATTTTTTTACAACACAAACAAATACAGGACTCATTCAGTTAAGCTGATGAAGTTTTCTTCTCACGAAATCTATCTAATGAAAAACTAGTTAACTTTTGCCATTTATAAGAGAATATTTATCCAATATGCTTTCTGTTATTTATCTTTTACTGTAATCCTTTTAATAATTAATGTTTGTTATGTTAATAATTAATGTTTGTTTGTATTATATACAACTTTTAGAAGATTTTATTTACACACAGAGAACAACGACAGAAACAATAACAACAAAAGCAAAAACAACAAAAGCAGTAACATCAGAATGCAATGAATCGATACAAAAGACATTATAAAAAACTTTCGTAGAAAGGATCAGCGGATTGTCTGAAATAAAAAATTAGTATTAATGCAGCCTCTTTTTTTATGGAAAACTGTGTGGAAAAATTATTGATGTGTATGAAAAACTATTAATAGGAAGTTTTTGTAATAACGTGAATCCATATACGATGAACGCTAAAGTCTATTATTCTATCCTTTTCTTAATTACTATCCTTTTCTTAATTAGTTGTTAAGAAGAAGAATCCGATCTTAGCGTTCACCGTATCTAGATAAACGGTATTGCAAAAACTCCCTAATGTTTTTCATCTCGGCAATTTTGAAGAATAAAAAATATAAATTTATTGGGTTGAGGTTATGTTAACAAGAAATTTGAAAACAAATTGATAGTAAGATTAATTATAATAAATCAATTTATCGTACATACCATTTGTAAGTTATCGCTTAACTGCTTAATCAATTATCCGGTATTTCAAAAAGAGATTGAGATGGAATGTTTACATATTCATACAATCGGTACATTATCGATTATTCTGCAGAAATGGTAGAAATTAGATGCCATGACATTTTCTGATGGCCATTTTAATCCCTTTCGAGTGTCCCTATTTTTTTTCGTGTTATCGAAAATCACGATACTAGTTTCATTTCTCTGGCCGTCCCTGCTTATCTTTCTACTTGATTTGTGATACGTTAACTATTTCTCTTTGTAACTTAAAAGCTAAGCTTCGGACAAATCTTTGTCAAACGAAAAATTGTCTTAGAATATAGCCAGGAATATGTTTTTTTAAGAATAAAAGATTATTTTAAATCACTCTATATGCCAAGGTCATTGGAGATGGGTCCGTTGTTTTCAGTATTTACCTTATTTTTACCTGATCCAGCATCGGATCTGGCCAGGCAGCTAGTCAGCGATCGCCGAGGGCCCAATAAGCAAGGCCAGTGACAAAAAAAAAATCAGTCACGAAACTATCCAATGACTTTGAGCTCTAGGAGGGAGGCTTGCATAAAGAAATTATAAAAAATCCCAAGATTATCCCGGTAACACAAAAAAATTGATGTATTTGCTTTTAATCAATATATTATAATATGAAATTTTATATAATAAAATAAAATGAAATTTTATACAAATTGGAATTACTGCATTAAAAGTAAAACATGCATATATTTTGTACGCGTTATAATGTGGTCTATGACTCAAAACTGATGTGGTCTATATCTCAAAAACAAATTGAGATCTCTATTGGGTCAAAATATTTTAACTCCATTATTGTTGAGAAAAACCTATTCGATGATATCGAAAAGGGTCATAATTGATGAAATAGCAGAAACTAGTAAAAAATTAAAAAAAAATTGTAGTTTAATGTTATCATAAAATCTAATTATAAGTTTAATTTTAATTCATTCTGATATAATATTATGAAATTATAATAGATATGACTGGTTTTGCTATTATGTATAATTTATACATATGTAGAGAGTACATAAGTACATAATATAAAGATTTGTTTATAATAATTAAAAAGTATTCATACACACGTCTATTTTATTTTTATTTCAACTTTACTGAGTTCTTAAACATTATTCACTGCACATTATATTAATAGATGCCTGAAATATAAGTTGTAAGAAACATTACGCACTGTTTACTTTTGATTACAACCTTTATATTACTAATAGAGTAATTATACGTATAAATCATTAAATTTGATTAAATATACCGGTACAAATAGTATGTAATTACATATAATTTTATATAGGAAGGGGGTGCGTGACATTTTGTCGCCGAGAGTCGAAAGATGAACCAGTCCGACACTGACCTGATCCATATGATCCATATGCATATGGGATAAAAGATTATCCCATTTTTTTATAAACATAATTTTAAAATTCTAAAATTCTTATATATTAACGATTATAAAAAAGATTCTGCCAACTCATATGGAAAATGTGGCTTTAGTCAAATTGACTGAAATTGTGATTTACTTTCTGTAAATTATGAGTAAGCCGCGGAAGTTCGGGCACGATCACGCGGAGAGTCACTGCGTTCTTTGTTTATATTGGCTGCATTCAACAGAAAAAGTAGCTTTGCAACTATTGTATGATTCTTTAATGTAATTAGTTTATACATTACAGGTTCAATAAGGAACTAAGAGCAAGACCAATCAAAGAATTTTACAACAGTTAACAGCAAAGCAGCTTTTTCTGTTGAACGCAGCCATTGAGTAGGCCTTGCGCCAGCAGCAATGTTGTTATTCCATTTCAATAAGCACTCGACTCATTTGCTTGCGTTCTTTGATTGTGCTCGAACTTCTATGCCTTAAAATTATGGGATGTTTATCAAAAGCTTTGTGAGACGAAAAATGAACAAATTTTGCTAAAACATCATTCGAAAGTTGTTATTTTAGGTCTTTGGACTGCAAATTATCTTTATCTCTAGCTATTTTTTTTTTTATAACTGCGCCTCAATATCTTTATGCATAGAATAATATAATGAAATAAAGAAAATACATAGTTATTTAAAAAAATTTTAAATAATTTGCAAGTATACAAATTGCATATTTCTTTAAAAGCAATTACGTGTTTTCTTTACATCAATTCATTTCAATTAATTCATTTCATTATTCTGTGCAGAAGAATTATTAAAAGAAGAATTATTAATTAGTATGCAATTATACAATTACCTAAAAAAGAAACAGTTTTGATACGTAGAGACATTTTTCAATCTGATAAAACTCAAAGCAACTTTCGAATGTTGTTATAATAAAATCTGTCTATTTTTTATGTTTTTGCCTACGGAAACTTTTGATCTGCATTTCATAATTCATAGAATATCAGTTTCATCCAATTTTATTAAAGTCACTTTTCCATATAATTTGCGATTCTTTCTGTAAAAAAAAATTGTTATAATAAAATTTATGCATTATAAGTCAAATAATTTAAATTTTTATTTTATATTTGTTGACATTGATAAAACTGTTATTTTATGTTGCAGTTGACAAAATAAAGAAAAGTGAAGAAGATTCCGGTGTACTAACGGATGGAGAAAATGGTAAAAGTATTTCTCTTCTGTTTTTGTCACGTTTCCATCATTTTATTTTTTTAAAAGTTTATGAAGTTTTGTAAAAATTAAATAAACAATATCCAAATATTTTGCAACATAATATTTTATGATTTTTTGAAACAGAACATAATAAATAAATTTAAATATATTGCGTTGATCAAAATATATCGAATTTTAAAAATAAAAAATCTATTACATAAAAAATTTGTATCAAATAACTCTAACAATGTTTTTTTTCTTATACATTCTTGGTTATAAAAAATAATGCCACAAATTAAATTGCCTTATCATCATGTTAGATTTTAAAGTTATTTTGAAATTTATAATGAAATTTATAATGAAATTTATAATGAAAAATCGGAGATTCGTAAGAAAAGAATAATACTGTCCAACTATCATTTTGTTAAATGTGAATGTGAATCATTTTTGATGGATTTTTGCCTGCTAAACATGAATCCATTGACAACAATTGATTATCATAAAATTTTGAGAAGAATTTCAAAAAAGAAATAAAAAAAATGATTATTTTTAAAACGTATTACCAGGTGTATAAGCTTAAACCCGCTGTTTTTTAGTCAGAAAAACTTTTTTTCCTAGGAAGCAAAAACAAATTTATTCAAAGTATTTGCCCTCGCTAACTATACATTTTTCCCATCTTTCGGGCAATTTGTGTATACGCCAAAACAATTCCTCATCTTTCGAGGCAAACCACTCATCAAGCCATTTTCGGACGTCTTCGTAAGAATCGAAGTGCCGCTCAGCGAACGCGTGGCCCATCGACGAAAACAGGTGATAGTCAGAAGGTGCCAAGTCTGGTGAGTAAGCGGGATGGGGGTAGCACTTCCCAGTTGAGTGTCTCCAAGTAGTTTTGGATCATTGTTGATGTGTGCGATGGTGCGTTGTCATGGAGGAAAATCAGCTTGTCATGTCTTTTCCGATAATGCGGCCTTTTTTCACGCAGAGCACGGTGCAATTTGATCAGTTGTTGGTGATAGTCGTGAGCATTAACAGTTTCACCAGGTCTTAACAGCTCGTAGTAGATGACACCCTTCTGATCCCATCAAACGCACAGCATCGTCTTCCGTCCGAAGCGATTTGGTCTTGAGGAAGATGTTAATGATTGGGGATCAATTCAAGATTTCTTGCGTTTAGGATTCTGAAAATAGATCCACTTTTCATCGCCTATCACAATCCGATGCAGGAACGACTTTCTTTTTTGTCTGGCAAGCAGAATTTGGCATGTGTTTTGACGTCGCTCCATCTGCCTATCGTTCAGTTCATGCGGCACTCATTTTCCGATCTTTTGAACCTTCCCCATGACATGTAGCTGCATGGAAATGACTGCTTGAAAAACACTCAATTGTTCGGCAAACATTTTTTGCGATTGGGTATTGTCCTCGTCCAAAAGAGCCTGCAATTGACAATCCTTAACCTTCCTGGGCCGATTTTCACGCTTCTTGTCACTCAGATCAAAATTGTCGTCATTGAACCGGCGAAACCAATCTCTGCACGTTGTTTCCGATAAAGCGTTGTCGCCATAGGTCTCCACAAGCATTCGATGCGATTCGGCAGTCGATTTCTTCAAATTGAAACAGAGAAGCAAAGCTTCCCGCATATGCTTCTTTTTTTAGCAAAAAACTAGACATTACAAAAGAAAAAATGTATATTGTTATATGAAATTGCTGATGATGTATACTGGTTAATGTTGACAGATGTCAAACACATAAAAAAAGTGTGTTGTGTGCCCAGGGTAGCTTTGTCATTAATGCCACCTATGAGCAAACAGCGGATTTAAGCTTACACCTGGTGGCAACTAATTTTTTTGCTTAATTTTAATTAATGCCACATGAAATTATCAATTTTTAGCTTTAAAATGCATTTTGATATGATTTTTTGTTTCCAATATAACATATAACAATGAATATATAGTTTCTCAGAATTACATTATCCAATAAAATTTAATCTTTATTTGTCATATGAATATGAATAAGTAATTTAAGTAATTTTCGTTGGACTTTGCATGTTGAACACAAATTTGTTGACAAAATTTGATTCACTACAATTCATTTGATTCATTACAATTTAGACAAAAATGTCAAAGGAACCAAAACATGGACTCATTTTTATTCATCTTCTTATGACACAAATAGAAGTTAAAGTGAAATTAAGGATTAAAATAAGTGTTAAATGAAAGACTTCGTTGAGTTGTATGTATATCTACATATTACATATATAAGCTACATATATATAGATGTATATTTTTATCTTACACCGATTTTCTTTTTCAAAGTTATAGGATATTCCAAGGGTCTCAAATTTAAAATGATTTTTTTATTATGTACGGCACAATCACATCATTACTTATATGAATTAGGCCTGTCCAAAACTCGGCTCGCGAACTAAGGCACTTCCATCTTCTCACTTCGATAGAGAGCAAATAAATAAGATAGACTAGTTTAATGAAATCCAGATATCGAAGTCCAAGAATCGATGATTATCAGTTTATCCTTGCGCACAGTTCCAAGACACGTCGAGAAGCCATTGTGGCATACTATTGTGACTGCGAATCTGACGCGTGCACTGTTGCTGTAATCATATTATGACCTTTATATGATACCTTGCATATGAGTACAGCCATAGTTGTATCATTCCAAATGAAGATTTGGAAATGCTCATATTGTACTCATATTGTACTCATCGTACTTGATACAATTAATAAATGACTAAACTGATACTTTCTTAAAATAAGACATCAGTCGATGAACATATGTACATAATAATATATAAATATACCCTATAACTTTAAAATTGATGTAAAATAAAAATATATAAGGTAACTGAGCTCAACATGGGCCTCTTAAGCTTTGATAATTTTTTTAATTTTTTGCTGATGTCTCTAAATTGAAAACATAGGCCGACAAATTTTTTTTTTTGGGAGGGGTCTTGTGCTTTGAACTTTGAAAGATAGATTCCATAGAATTTGATACGCTGAAAACGACTACGTTTTTTCCATCACTTTTCATTTTTTAAAAAATCGCAAAAACAGTTTTTTTCCAGAATTAACTTTTTTATTAATTTTTTCCGGCTAAACAAAAAATGATATCGAGATCTGTTTAGCGGTATTTAACTCAGAAATATTCCAACAATAAAAATATTTAAAAATATCTTTTCGATGCTTATAAAAATGTTTTATGCAAACCGCAAACAAAAAATTTGAATTTAAAGCGCTAAACCCGCGCGTCACTTACAGTGCATGATTGATATCCTTTCGATATCCTCTCGAATCTGACACAGCCATCGACTATAGGAGCATGTTATGTAATTTTTTTTTATCACTGATTTCAAATCTGAAGGTGTATAACTTTGCTTCCGCCGTTTTCCTATAGATGGCTTTAGCGGTAAGTGATGGTCGAAATAAATAGATCATAGACGTCATACAATAAACTTGGGCATCTATCAACATAACCCCATAGAAACATTAGTCGATTTGTGTCTGCATCATAAAGTTATTCTCGATTGAAAATGTCAGTTTACAAGCCAAATTCTCGTCATTTGCGGGAGGTTTTAATTTTTTGCTTCAATATGAAGAAATCTGCGGCTGAGGCTCATCGAATGCTCTCAAATATTTATGGTGAGGCCGCTATTAGTGTCGTGAGTGGTTTCAACGTTTCAAAAACGATTTTGACGTCCAAAGTCATGCTCTGTATTTGGTGGACCAGCTCGGCGTGTATTATGAACTGTTAAAACCGACTGAAACAATCACAGGCGATCGGTATCGAACGCAATTGATGCGTTTGAGCCGAGCATTGAAAGACAAACGACCGCAATACAACGAGAGACACGATAAAGTGATTTTGCAGCATGACAATGCTCGACCCCATGTTGCGAAAGTGGTCAAGACATATTTGGAAACGTTGATGGGAAGTCCTACCCCACCCGCCGTATTCTCTAGACGTTGCTCTCTCTGATTATCACTTGTTCCGATCAATGGCACACGGCCTGGCTGACCAGCACTTCCGGTCTTATAAAGAAGTAAAAAATTGCATCGATTCGTGGATAGCCTCAAAAGATGACCAATTTTTTCGACGCGAGATTCGTATGCTACCCGAAAGATGGGAGAAAGTAGTGGCCAGCGATGATGGACAATACTTTGAATCATAAATGTATAACCAGTTTTTTACAATAAAGCCTCGAATTTCGGAAAAAAAACGGCGGAAGCAAAGTTGTACACCTAATAAAAAATGTGCAATTCAAAATGGCAAATCCAGTATGGAGAATTTTAAAAAATCAGTACATGAAAATCGATATCTGGTTTATAAGTCTCTGATTATTACAACTGTAATCACAATTGTTGAATTTAAAATAGCAGATTTAAAATAGCAGATTTAATGATGAATAATAAGTAAACGTACATGGAATGGTGATTTTAGCGTTGTATCTATCCTGTATCATGTGAAAGTACACCTTATTATAATAAGGATAACATTAAAATTACTGTTTTGTGTACATTTACATTCATTGGATTTGTTATTTTGTAGATAATGCACGGGCTGTTTTGGTACTTTAAATTCAATAACTTCCGAACACATTGTCGGAAATTAGTTTTTCAAAAAATTAACATGAACATATAAATTAGAAACATATAGCTATAAATATAAATTGTCAAATATTTTTTATGATTTTTTTTCTTTCGAATTATTATTTCATTTTATATTTCAAAATTTGTAAATTTTTTCCGATTTTTTATGATTTTTTCAAAGTTTTTCGTTTGTCGTTGCATAAAACATTTTTATAAGCATTTTTATAAGCGAAAAAATATTTTTAGTATTGTTGGAACATTTTCTGAGTAAAGTTAAATGCCGCAAAACAGACCTTGATGTAATTTTTTATTTAACCAGAAAAAATTGTTTTGCGATTCTTTAAAAAATGGAAGGCGATGGAAAAAAATTGACAACGTAATCGTTTTCAACACATCAAAATTCTACGGA